CGAACCCGGGACATTAAGAAGATGAGTGAGACGCGATGCCAACTGCTCCACCGCTTCAACTCGAACTTGCATCTTCAATTCAAGGTTTGTGAACAAATTATTACCACAGTTATATAAAGTATAAAAATGTTAAAAATTGATTTTTCCTGAAGAATATTAGCATTTTTGCACTCAGCGACCCTAAAAACCCCTGAAAACTCATATTGCGAGGTTTAAACATACGTATCTGATTTAATGCCGCTTAAACCGGCTATTCGGACCATAGTGCGCCGCCGCGCCGCCCGCCAGCAGCCGCAGAAGGACTCGAGCCGAGCGCGAGTGGTCGGCCTTCTCCCGCGGATAATTGAGCCCCCGTTGCCTGTCCCCCGAAAATTTGGAGCCTCCCCTCCCGAGATCCAACGTGAATCCACCGCATTTTCAAGCCAACGGCGGCAACTCTGCCTCCAACCGCGCCGAACCGCTCACCACACAAGACTGAAATTCGCCGAAAAAATTACTCTCTCCACCCCAATCGGAAAAATCCTCCGCGGCGCTTGATTCACTCCTGCATGTGCGCCATCCCTCATTATTTGCAAACATCCTACATGAATGCCCCCAAATTATTGATTCCATGAGCTTGTTGAGTATTTTTTTAATTACCACTCTGAAAAGCAAGGACAGTCTTATTTTAGCTCCCAGGAATTTTCCAGAATTTTCGTGAACATTACTAATCTACGAAAACCGAGTAGGTACCATTTTGCATAGTTTGAGGTTCTATGTAATCGCGCATCGCTAACAGGGGAAGAAAGACCCCCCCCCCCCCCCCCCCCCCCNCCCCCATCCACATCTTGGCAATGGTGGAAGCTTTTACTTTCGGGACTCATTGCAACGCATCTGTTGATTTACCTGCTCGGTGGATATGTTCAGTTCAAAAACGTGTCGAGTATTTCGTCTCGCATACAAATCAAAGTTTGGGAACCTTATATTTGTCTCTTGACGTCATGTGAAGCTCATCATCCACCTACTGATCGATAGGTTAACAAAAAGGTTGACGACTTTTGCTGCTTTATAATTGGACATTTTTAAATTCGAAGGAACTCCATCCATTCTGATACGAGCCCTGAAATCCATAAGGATGTACACATGACTGGGTCACTGGGTCAGGCCCGTCACAATGAAGGGGGGGGGGGATACTGGGCCCCTGGTACCGGGGCCCGTGCCGCCAGTGACACACTACTTCGAATTTACATATGGATTGCATTTTGCAAAAAGGAACCACTAGCATTGCAATGATGGTAAGATTGTGCAACTTCATCTTTTGCAATAAAATTGCGGAAATCGTGAAAAACTATGAAATTTAGATGGTATTTTTGTCTTAAATTTACAGTTTTTAGCGAGTAAAATAGAAACCATTTATGGATAATCGGATTTTCCTCCAAGACAAAAGAAGTTGCCCAATCTTAGTAACATTGCAATGCTAATGGTTCCTTTTTGCAAAGTGCAATCCATATAACCCTCGTCTCGCAAGGAAAAGTGAAAAATTGACCCTATTTTCGCAAAAAGTGAATAAATTTTCAAAACAAAAAAGATTTTTAAAAAAACGCTCGGGCACTGTAGATTTTTCTTATTTCTTGAAAGATTTCTATTTATTTTCAAGATTTTTAGTATATAAATAATTTTTTGTATGTGAATAAACTTCTCCTCTTACATGGAATGATCATTTATTTACTTTATCTTTATTCTAACCTTATTCATTTACATATTATAACTTATTTTTCTGGTTGTAAGGGGGTAGGGAGAGGGGCGGGGGTGGCATTCATGGGGCCCGGACCTTATAACCGGACAGCTTTATGCAATAAAGAATTAGGGTCAAATTTTCGATTTTTTTATTATGATGAATTCCGTATCAGGAGGGTATTTACTTACTATTGAGAAAAAGGAAATCCTCAAAAACGATTTTTATCCCGCTTCAGCGACCCCGTAAAAATTTGCCGTCGCAGGATCACGCGAGGTTCATTTTGCAATTGGAACCTATAATATGGTTCCCTGTTGCGTAATGCGAAACTCGGATTTCCCATTTTGCGATTCGGAACTATAAGCAGGACGGCAATATGCTATCATTGCTATCTCGGCTCCTGTTCGATCGATCATGCTCATTTTCGGTATCGATAGGTATTTTTGGACGGGAAACTCGAATTTTTGGTCAAATTTTGAAAATTCAAAAATCCATGATGGCGGATGTGGCCTAAAATGCTATCTCGACTCCTGTTCGATCGATCTTGCTGATTTTGGGTTCCAGGGGGTACTTTTGGACGGAAAACTCGAATTTCTGATCAAAGGGGTACGTGCAAAACGGGCCATTTCACGCTCGTGTTGGATACCATTGAAACTTGCCCTATCCATTCATCTAACAATGCCCCATGTTTTCCCAAAGTTTCAACTCCCCAAAAAGTTTTGAGGGGAAGTGGCGGGGGATCAAAGTTTAAAATCAGCAAAATTTTCGCGAATCTTTTACTCAAAACCTACTGAATATTTTGGAACGCGGTATAAACGTGCGTTTTCAGCGTGAAAAGAGCTTTCAGAAAATGTGTAATATCATAGGGTATTGTCGACTTAAACTCAAATTATCGCCTCCGAAGCGCCGGAACGCTAAAAAATTACCCGTTTTTTTTTTTCACGTTCGGGCCGATCCCCAAAATAGCCCATTTTTAATTTCTTTGAAAATCTGATATGTTGTTTCTGACTCTCTATAGCCCCTCTAGCTCTTTACCGCATGCTTGGAAAATGTTTTGGTCGCGAGTTATAAGAGCGGAAAGGAGCGAAGGTCGGGAAAATTGGCTATTTTAAACGGCGACGGATCAGGAGACATGTGGCAACAATGCGAGGTCGACAAAGGAGTGTGATTCGCCGAACTGAGCAGGAGGTGGCGTTCTCCTTCTAACCCATGCGACGCGCGCAGTTTAAAATAGCCGATTTTCCCGACTTTCGCTCCTTTCCGCGCTTATATCTCCCGAACAAAACATTTTCTCAGGGTACGGTGAAGACATATAGGCGCCATAATAAGTTAGGAACAGTTTCTCAAAGAAATTAAAAATAGGCTATTTTGGGGATCGCCCCGAACGTGAAATATAAAGCGGGTCATTTTGTAGCGCTTCGGAGGCGACAACTCGAGTTTAAGTCGACGAAACCCTACGATATTATACATTCTCTGAAAGCTCTTTTCACGCTGAAAACGATTGATGAAACCGCGTTTCGAAATATATAGTAGTTTTTGAGTAAAAAATTCTTGAAAATTTCGCAGATTTTCAACTTTGCCCCCCGCCACTTCCCCCAAAAATATTTTGGGGAGTTGAAACTTTGGGAAAACATGGGGCATTGTTAGATGAATGAATAGGGCAAGCTTCAATGGTATCCGACACGAGCGTGAAATGACCCGTTTTGCACGTACCTCTTTTGAAAATTCAAAAATCCAAGATGGCGGACGTGGCCTAAAATGCTATCTTGGCTCCTGTTCGATCGATCGTGGTGAATTTTGGTTGTGTAGGTGGTATTTTTGGACGGGAAACTCGAATTCCTAGCCGAGTTTCGAAAAATGGAAATTTCAAAAACAATTTCAAAATTCCATTTACCTGTAGTAGAGTGTACCTTGCCCACTGACTACAGGTTACCTTAAAAATAGGGATTTTACGTATGTAATGAAGGTTTGAACCATGTAAACGTCCAAGAAATCCATTTCTGAACTCCATTTTGGTCCAAATATCATCGAATGACTCGATATTTGCATTTGAAAAGTGACTGTCAATCCCTTATGGGAAAATACATTGTAAGTGATGAAAAGACCACGTTTATCTCGAACTGTGACGTAGCGAGCGTACCAGATCCGTTCCCGCGTATCGTTTTAAATGGGTCGGTTCCAATTACAGATTTTTTTTTTTTTAAAGTTTGAAAGGTCATTTTATAATTTTTTAGCGCCATCGTTCTTTCTGTGAAATTTGCCATTGGCATCAGTTGTCAATTCGCAAATCCCCGCACCTTGCAACAGGCCCATTGTCAATTGTGTTCAATTGTTATTTTAATCCTGGTTAAATACTCGAGTTTTGATAACTTAAGTTCCCGCGCAAACTTATCGCAGGACCGTAGGAGCCGCGTCCCGTCGAGACGGTAACTGGGGAAAATCCTAGAGGTTTCATTCCTGCGATTCTAACTTAGGACAAATCCTATGAAAACATCCTGTGGAGACAAGGCCCTAGAGGCCGCTCAATACCATCAGGCCTCTCTGAGGAATAAACGAGTCTCTGCCCCCCCCCCCCCCCTCCAAAAATCGGAAAGTGTAGGTAAGTACTCTGATTGGATAGTAGGTATAAGATGACTCATCGATGAATAACAACGGTATAAATGCATAACTCTGATTTCGATTCTTATGTCCCAAAATTTGAAATAATAGTTTTGGAGACAAAAAATGGAAACTTTTCACCGAAACTTGTCGACGAGATACTTTCGCACGCGGTAGAAAAATTTTCCAGTGAAAGTTCGATGGAAAACATTGAATTCCGTCGAAGTAGGTTTCATGAGCCCACGACGCCGTCAAACCGCAATTTTGCTCAGGTTTTTTGTTCAGGTAAAAATGAGGATAACCGCCCTGTGCGACATCTTAGTCGTAAAACGCGCCACTTTTCGATATGTAAGCGAGTGACGGAGCGAATATGATTATCTCTGACGTCACCCTGGCACTTGAAGCCACTCCGCGATGCCGTTAAAACGCATTATGAGAGGAAAATGCACTGACGGACAAACACAGCCGGTTCTGCTAGTTTGACGTTACCGGCGTATTCCTTGTTCCTCGTGGTTGGGTCTGATCTCAGAGGGTTTTCTATCATGTTTATTTATTTATCGGTCGGTTTGTTTATTTGTTTATTTGTTTGTTCGTTCGTTATTGTAGTCTACCGCAGGTAGTTCTGAGATTGCAAAAATTTTTCCGAAACAATAGTCTCTACCCTTGTTTTCGCTTTTTTATGTTACAGGTATCAAAATGAATTGCCGAAAAAAATAAAATCCAGGGGCAAGGATGCTCATTTAAATCATGAGGAATTAGTACAATTAATGAAATGGAAGCAGTCGGTAAGTATCAATATTCCCTAATAAAATCATTTCCTTTTGTTTNTTGGGGGGGGGGGGGTTGGATCAGTAAAGTTTGTTACAATTTACATCAGTTGCGTTAGTATGGCTTTATAGAGTTTTATTGGTTGTCAAGAGCAATGAAAGAAAATTAGGAAAAGCATGTACGGGAAGTGGAGCTTTTTTATATGATCGTGTCGAGTCCTCTATGTTTTCCATGATTAAGAAACAACTATGATTCAACAACTTATATTCAAATGGCTTCCTCTGGACAGCTAATTGGTTTTGGTTACGAACCATCAAATCAACCTTTGAGTTTACACAAATTATTGTACAAGTATGGAATAGGTGGTTCCATACCCAATAATTGTCTTACATTAAATGCACAAACATGCATCTAGGTGTCGAAGACATATGTATTAAAGGAAGATGTGGTCAGAGGACCTTCATAGAGAGAGTATGGACAACTCGATTTATGCAGCTCCTAGGTCCCAAAAGGGCGACAACGTGCGAGGCGAAAATCACTAGTAAAGTGCCACTGCCAACCTATGCTTTTGAAATATTAATTAGTACAGCCAGAGATGGTAAATTTCATGAAATTTATTTGAATGAAATTTCACGTTTCATGAAATATGTTGAAACTTCTGGGGATCTATTCAGGAGGCTAAGGAACGCCTAGAAACAGTGATTCTAAATTTTGAAATTGTTTACCCCAAGCCTAAAACATTCGCGCGTTGCAAATGTTAGTTTAGAGGTTAGGTTGGGGTTTTTCTCTCTAAACTCCCCTTTTTGCCCCCTGTTAGTGTCTGGCACCTTCAGTAAAGTAGCATAACACCGCAGCATTAACAGAAAGACCATCCGAAATGCTTTCAGACCTCCAAAGGTTTAATCAATAATTTTAAAAAAAAGTTAATAAATTTCAACTTTTGTGAAATTTATTCGAGCCTTTTGAATTTTCACTTTCTATCTGTGCGCTTACCGAGGTAGAAGGCACTGTCACCCTCAAACTCAAAGTTGGAAACCTTGCCTCATGAAAAATTTTACGTTGCAGGTAATAAAAATCAATTACAATTCTGTCTTGGGACACTTGTACCACGCAATATCAATAATTCTTAAAAAAATCAATAAATTTCAACTTTTATGAAATTTCATGAAATTTCAAAACGTGAAATTTCACTTTCCATCTCTGAGTACAGCCGGCAGCGCATTGTATACCAGCAGCGTCTTTAGACTTTGAAACTGAGAAAATGTATGCGAAATCAAAGTTTTATACGTACTTTTATCAGTTTTAATCAATTATGAAACGGCGGGTAGTAAGAATTTTGAAAAATACTACCACTGGATGATAGAACTTCATTGATTGGCAGCCCTTTTGGGCCCCAAGAGCTACATGACCTGATCAAACCTAACCTCCAAATTTTCGAGTTGTCCATACTTTCCCTATAAAGGTACTCAAGATGTGGCCCTTTCATCAATGTGACAGACGAGCTTTGGCCTCATCCACCACATTAAGATTCATTACAAATTTTTCAGGAAGCCTCCGCTCTCAGTGCACTTGCCACAATTTTGCAAACAAGTAATAATGATTCTGAACGCCCCTAAATAAAAACGAGCAGAGCAGCCTGCTTTATTTTATTCAATGGTCAAAGATGTTTTAAGAGAATTGCAACTTTCACAGATCATAACACACCGTGAAATCTCGAAAGACAATGAAAGTTTCATTGGTATAGGTTGAAGAACTTAAGTCAATAGGACTCACATACTTAAATGTTTAACCCTGTGCACCCTCATCCTAGTTTTCTATGTTATTTAGTATCATTGATTATATTTCCATTGTTTTTTTCCAGAGAGGAAAATTTTTCCCTCAGCTGTCGTATTTGGTGAAAGTAAATACGCCCAGGGCCGTGATAGCAGAAACAAAAAAAGCCTTCAAAAAACTTCCTAATTTGGAGCAAGCGATAACTGCCCTTAGTAATTTGAAAGGAGTTGGAACCACAATGGCTTCCGGTGACTACTTATCTTAAAAATAATTATATTTTTCAATCGATTTCTTGTCACTTTAGCAAGCAGTCTTACATCTCGAAGCACTTTTTTCTTCTTTTTTTTGTTAACGAGCAATTAGTCCAGGAACCCAGGGCTGAAATAGGGTTCTCACTGGAAAAATTACCAACATAATTTGAGTGACACTCTTCTCATGTGATTTTTCGCGTAGAATCCGAATTTCAACCTAGCCAACCAGAAAAAACCCCCGGAACATCCGCCATTTTCGAACAAACGTTGCCAAATCTCGGTTCTTGTCGAAAAGTCTAAATATCTAGCGAAATATGCATTTTTAGGCAAAGTGAGTTCTTTTCGAAATTAAAGAGTGTAAAATTTCCGACAGGCAAGGTCCTCTTATATGAGCGTGCGACCAAAATTAAAGTTTCAGCCATCCGCTGAAACTTCAGCAAATCTTCCTATTTTCCACTTTCTTTGGAAAACATGCATTTTAATTAAAATCGGCGGAAAGTAAAATGTATTGTGATTTTGCCATGTAAACGTTAGGAAACATCCCCGAGCAGCAATATCAAAGGAAAAAACTGTAAAAATGGGCCCAAATCGGCATCATCTATGCACTCTGCCACTTGAGGATGTGACTTTCAAACATTGACCGTGATCTGAGGACCATAGAGAAACAATGCCACATTTCAAAATTGCAGGTTCTCAGTGCTGAATTTTTACCCACCCTGACACCCAGTCCCCCCCCCTCNCCCCCCCCCCCCCCCACCCCCGTCCTTTTGGATGGGCACCGATTGCCAAGAGTGCTGCTTCCTAATTTCCCAATTTTTTTCTCAAGCCGCATAGTGGAAGTACAAGGGTGGATGAATCACGGCAAGACGTTTGATTCGTTCCTCCTGGAAGGAGACAAAAAGAACGCCCAGTGGAAGAGTGGAAACAGGGGGTCTTAGAGGAAATCAAACGTGATTCATCCACCCTTGTACTTCCACTATGCAGCTTGAGAAAAAAATTGGGAAATTAGGAAGCAGCACTCTTAGCGATCGGTGCCCATCCAAAAGGACGGGGGTTGGGAGGGGGGGGGACTGAGTGTCAGGGTGGGTAAAAATTCAGCACTGAGAACCCGCGATTTTGAAATGTGGCATTGTTTCTTTTTGGTCCTCAGATCACGGTCAATGTTTGAAAGTCGCATCCTTGTGCACAAACATCATGCCTAGAATTCGTAAGAAACGGGTCGTTAATGAGCGCAGGATCTTAAAATAATAAATATCGGCACAAGGTATGATCCCCTTCCATTTCTGAATACTGCAATTGAAATTTTACGTATGTATTCCATGTGCATATTAACTGAAAAAATGGCTCAAATCTAGGGAGAGGCGGATTTTTATTGACTTTTACTGATGGCTTGTGGCAACATCGCGCCGCAGTAGGAGGCTCTATAGATTAACACATGTACATAATCACCAGTAATGTGGTCATAACATATGAAAATTCAAGGTTTGCTGAACTTTGCCGAATGAGCTCGATGAGGGACAGCCTCTGAATACTGAAATAGGTACCTGGTTTTTTGTGTTTTCAGGCGATAAAATGTGGCAACATCAGCTTTTTTGGGAGGCTTTGAATCCAAAAACTTATTTAGAGGAAGGATTTAACCATCTTGTTTGCCAAAGGAGTTCAATTCGGGTGTAAGATGAGTCGCCCTTTTTAAATAATTTTAAAAAAGGTTGAAAAACAGGAAAATTCTAAAAGAAAAAAAAATTTAAACAATAAGTGCAAAGTTTAATATCAACTAACTGCCATTCACCCTTAGAAGCTCAAAAAGAGCCCACCTCAATTAAGCGCAATGTGAAGTCAAAATACGCAGAGCAAGGATAAGATGAAGGATGCGGCCTGAGCTGAGCCGGTCTAATCGAGTATTGCCACTTGAACGGACTCAGCTCAGGCGGCGGGAGTTTTAGTGGGTACGCCAAAAAATGATGGTAAGTCTCACACGCCCCTCTGTTTGGTTCCTGGCTACCAGAGTCTATGAAAGATTTCTCCCGCCTAAGAAAAAAAACAATAAAAAAATGGAAAACCAACCGCGAGGAGGCACCGTGCATAGATGACACGGCGCGGCACGCCGCCCGAGGCAGAGCGACGCGGCAGAGTGCATAGGTGATGCCGATTTGGGCCCATTTTTATAGTTTTTTCTTTTGATATTGCTGCCCGGGGATGTTTCCTAACGTTTACATGGCAAAATCACAATACATTTTACTTTCCGCCAATTTTAATTTAAATGCATGTGTTCCAAAGAAAGTGGAAAATAGGAAGATTTGCTGAAGTTTCAGCGGATGGCTGAAACTTTAATTTTGGTCGCACGCTCATATAAGAGGACCGTTCCTTTCGGAAATTTTACGCTCTTTAATTTCGAAAAGGACTCACTTTGCCTAAAAATGCATATTTCGCTAGATATTTAGACTTTTCGACAAGAACCGAGATTTGGCAACGTTTTTTCGAAAATGGCGGATGTTCCAGGGTTTTTTTTTTGTTGGCTAAGTTGAAATTCGGATTCTACGCGAAAAATCACATGAGTATAGTGTCACTCAAATTATGTTGGGAATTTTTCTAGTGAAAATGCTATTATTCCTGGACTAAATATGTAATTTAAAAATTCACGTTCAGAAAATTCAAAATCTCTTCTGTGAGAAAGTTTCAATTTCAGAATGTTTTAGTGCCTGTTAAAAAAGGAAGCTTCTGTTTTACTTATAATTCTTCCCCCAAAATTTACATGGCTGCCACAGTCAGGCAAAACCGGGAAGTGTAAGGGCATTTTAAAAAGTTAAGGCAAATCTGGAAATATCAAAGGAAATGACGAAAATTTCAGGGAAAAATTGTTAAATCACTTCTATTTGCACTCTAGAATGGGTTTGACGTTTCGAACGACAAATTTTGCAAGAACACTATTTCTTATCATGTCTCTGCAACCATGTGGCATTTCCTCAAATTCAAAGAATTTCACAGAAATGTGTCAGGAAATTTCATTTTTTACATTCTGTGGCAACCCTGTGTTTAATACCAAAGTTAAGTTTACCTTTAATTGCAATGTTCATTGCTAAATCCTTATGACAGTTAATAACCTTGTCTTGATTTAAAAATTAACTGTCAATACTGACTTTTACTGACTTTTACATGTTTTACGTGAAATTTTAGTTACGAAACATGTATCAGAATGCTGAAATTCATACCTTGTCTAGTGGTCCATTTTGTTGTTTTAACACATCTTCCTCCATGAGAGGTGTCTTCAGTTTTCCTGTTAGAAGTAATAAGTAGACAATCTTCTTTTGTAATAAACATCAGAGGTTTTGAAGCCAGCAAAAATGAATGGTCAGACTGGTAGGAGCTCAAACAGTATCTGTAGAGTCCAGCTCTTTCTGTTAAGTGTCAACAGTGGCATCACTGGCAACAACATTTTGATTTTATCAAATCAAAGTGTTGTTTTAAGACAAAGATTCGCTTTTGCAACCCCATTTTTAATCCCTACCCTAGACATCCACAGCTACTTGTTGAAGGGCAGTGTTAAACATTGTTAACTGATGTATTTTGTTTCAATGTTCAGCTCTCTTAGCGGCTGCAGCGCCTGACAAAGCACCTTTTATGGCGGATGAGTGCCTTATGGCGATCCCTGAAATTGAGGGTATCGACTACACTACGAAGGAGTACCTCAACTTTGTCACTCACATTCAAAATACCGTTGAAAGGTTAAATAAAGAAGGTATTGATCGTCCTTTGCTTTTGAAATTTGTTTAAATCATTCAGTCTCTACTCTAACTACAGTAGCATCAGTTTGAAACTTATTAAATCAAGAAATCTTTCCTTTATTTTTTCCTTTCAAATCTCATCAACATGAAGTTTTTGACCAACTGATCCTATGGCACCAAGATTTTAAAATAATTAAAAGCTTGTAAAATTTTCGAAGAAACTTAAGAAAACCTGAAAACTCCTGACTATTTACTACAATACTATCAGCCTCATTGGTGTAGTGGCCAAGGCAGTTTGCTGCCAACACTGAGGTCCCGGGTTCAATCCCCGGAGGTGACTGATATTTGAGGACACTCAAATATTATTGTGACCGTGGATGACTATGCCACTCCAATACCCTGATCCTTCGAGGTAACAGGGTGTAGGAGGGACACAGTCACCCAGTAAGTAATCCGTCTGCACTGTCGACTGGGTTGTGAAAAAATCGGTGATCACTGGTAGTGTGCGCGACTGCCAGTGCTACCTATCAGTGGAGATTCCAACAACACAGTCCAACTCGGTGTAGGCATGGCCGTGCTCCAAAAATCCGTGCTCTGCAGCGTCTGCCACAGTCTTTGATAAGATCTACCGTTGGCTATCAGACGGCTGCTGAGCCTTGCGGGAATATAGCGGATACACAATGTGTCACTGATTTTGAAGTCAAGAAGCACGGTCCAGCTTCGGGGTGCACGACGGCAGGGCTCCTGCCAGTTGCCTTGGCCCCTTGAGGGCGCCTTGCTGGTCAGCCCGGCCTTACTTACTTACTTACTTACCTACTTACTACTTACTACTCATTAAAAAACTTCTTTCAGGAATTGGTAATATTCTTTGAAGAAACATTTTCTTGTGAAAAAGGTCATAATTGTCAGAATATTTCCATGCCTGAAAATCAGCACAATCTGCTTGCTCTGATGCTATTACTATTTTTTATTGCTTTTCAAGGACAACTCAGATCTACTCATAGCTGCCTAGAATTTTGTAAAGTGTAAAACAAAAAACCTTCAAAAGAATATCCATCTCCAGAAATAAAATTTCCAAAAGCATTTCATGATATTTTAGAGTGCGAGATCGGGTAGTTTATTGAGTTGTTGATTCCTGCCGGTCTAAATAGTAATCAAAATTTGTTGCATAATTGTGATAATGTACAGCATCCAATAATGTGAGGTCACAATGGAAGCTAGGACTGAAGAAAATGAGTTTTGCCAGGCATAGATTTATTCTTCCAAACTATTCACCTCAAGAATTCAGGGTCTTCCATCTGCTCTCTTACTAAAAGTAATTTTCCAATCAAATCCTAATTCACCCCTAAGAACCATAAAATAGCCTCGATAAAAAATGCATGTTGTGTCTGAGGTAACCGAGATTTTTGTCGGACCTTTATCTGACCTACTTAAGTTTGTGAATGGCAAGTACTGAAAATTTCTGTTGGACTTAAAAAAGAGAAGTTCTTATTACTTTCCTCAGGACTTTCCTTTGAGTTTTATAACAAAACAAAAAGACGGAGGTTTTTCATATTCCTCTTTTTATTAATATACTCCTCTTGTCAATCCATACAACCAGTGATGACTTGGCTGACAAACTTGTTCCTCTGAATATCGTTTTCTAACTCGATCAGTCATTTCCAACAGCACCTTTCACCTCCTCAGGCAAGATGGATGGGATTTCTGGAGAATAAAATAATGCTTCGGGTAAATCACACTTGGAGCATTACATAGATTAACAAGACGCGCATATTAGTTCAAGAGTGAGTTATATTAAAAAATATTTGGACTGGCGCTGTAACTTTAAAACTAATGAAGCTATGGGTCTGATCTTACTTGATGTATCAATTGAGACAATGATCAGTTCATTTGAAAGGAAATTCTCCAACTTATCACAGTTCTTACAAGAAAAAAAATTGGATCCCCTACGGTTTTTAGTGAGTTTTCCCCCAAGCTTTTCTTTGCCAAAATTAGTCTCTAAAGGATAGACCAAAGCAGTTTTCTGATGGAAATTACATTAGGACACTCAGCACTTCTTAATAACGTTTTTCATTGTCTTTCTTTAGTCATCGTCCGACTGGAGAATGCTAGTATTGCTAGTGTCCAGAAAGCAGGCAGTTGGTTTAGCCAATAAAGCGTCTCCTACTAAAGGCTGCATTTGGAAGCCTTGTGGATTTCTCATCAGGATAACTTGAACGCTTGAAGCCTGAAAGTCGTCATTTCGAGAAGTGAAAAACAATCACTGAAAACCTTAGGGAGTCGCATTTGTTTTTTTTTTTTCTTCAAAAATGCTTGTAAGTCTGTGACTTTTCTTTCAAATGAATGGATCTTGGTCTCAATTGGTAGATGTCACGTAATCTTTCGAACGAAACAAAGATCAAACCTTTAGCTTTGGTAGTTTTGAAGTTACTGTATCAGTCACGATATTTTAGCGTCATTTCTAGCATCCAGAAAATTTTACAATCATTATGATGTGTGTTTGGTCAAACGTATCATAATATTCCATTCTCTCATGTTTTAGTTAAAATTGAGTCTTGGAGCCCACATACAGTAGAACTTGCACTTTGGACGCATTATGTAGCAAGTGAATTGAAACCTGAACTTTTAGATTGCATACCACCTAAAACAACTCAACCCTCTACTGAAAATGGTGCCACCGAGACTGTGCATCAAAACGGCGTAGTTACTTCCTCTGCCTTGAATACACCCACCTCTCAGGTAAGTTGTTTTATTCTTAAGTTTAGAGAGTTTAGTGTAGACTTACTTAGAATCTCATTAGGCCTTGTCCTCCAGGGACGTTTCACGGGATTTTCCTCAAGTTCGAGGTGCAGGAATGAAATTTCTAGGCTTTTTCGTGTTAAACAACGCGGATAGCATAGCAGCGTGCTGAAGGTTTCTTATCCCACGAAGGAAGGATCACATCCCAGAAAATCAGGTGCTGCGTTTAACATTCTGTTTCTGCCAAAGGAATGACCATGTGATATAAAAAATACTTTTAGTGGGGAAGGGGGAATGGCTCTGAGAGAAATTTTACTGGAGGGGGAGTGTGTAGATGCACCAATACGAATAATTTTTCTAGGGAGGGGGGCCCTTTTATCTGCCCCCTCCCCCCACCCCCTGGTGATGCCAATTGGACCCACCTGTTCAGTGGAACCGCTACGTAGACTTGCGTCTTGGCCATCCCCCCCTCATCGGAAAGGTACCACCCTAGATCTTTTTTTTTTACATGCAAATCATTCCATATAAAGTGAAAAAAAATTAGGTGTGATGGTAAATAGTAAGAGAACTGTTCCTCCTTCAACAACATGTTGCCTTCCATGGAGTTTTGGGCACTTATTTTTCCTTGCACCACGATGTAATTGTTCCCTCCCCCCCCCCTCCTTATTAAACGAAAGTTCAGCTGTGCATTCTCATGCTGGGGCCATGCTGGTTGTAAACCATCAGCATTTATACACGACCATATAATGGCTGCCGGCCTCACAGCAACATTCATCGCAAGAGACTGTATTTCGGTGGAAACAACCGGCATGGCTCTGGCAGAACTCTTCACTTCTGTTGAATATGACTGACTTGGCATGCAAGGTATTCAAAATACCAATTAAGTACTGTCTACATGTCTCGAAGAATAATGGAACTTTAATTTCTACATTTAGGATACTGACCAATGTTCCGATGAAAGTAACCTGGAAGCAACCAATGGGAAATCATCAGAAAGGTCACCGCTGCCAGAAGAAACCTCAACGACATCCTTTACCGAAGACTCTTGTGACAAACCTACAACGCCTATCATTGGATTGGATTCTCCATCAACCTGCGGCTTAGAAGAAGAAGAAGAAACTAATGACTCGCTCATAACGTCTGATGTAATTAACGAAGATGCGAACCAAGAACCTCCTATTAAAAAACTTAAAGTTGACAATAATGAAAGTAAAGAAAACACGAATGACAAAACATCCGATCTAGAAAATACCTCAGGCGATGCTGCAAGCTCTTAAGATTACTAAAATTTAAGTAATTAGTATAAAAAATTATTTTGTATGTACTATTGCTGTAACTTTTATGATGGACTTAACGGTTATCGTTTTTATTTTTTTATTTATTCTTGCTTTTCTTTTATCATATTTTTTTTCTCTCTCTTTTCCTCCTTTTTTGTCATGTCTATGATCGGTGGTTCTTTGCAAGTTATTTTTATTTATTATAATTATTAATAATGTGCGCTTGAACCACATCCCACAAGAATAAATAAAAATAAATAAATAAGGGAATAAAATGAGCCTATTAGGAATAATTACACTAAGTCTTACTGCAAGAACTATAAATAAAACTGTAGAAATGTATGTGTGTGCAGGCGCAAAAATTATCTAGGTCACTCACTTCTCATGAATTATTAGGGGGAAAAAAGATCTGTTATGAAACTCCGGTTGAAACAACTTTCTATACGTACCACTTTTTTCTGACTACCTTTCTCATCTTCTCAAAGATTTTAAATTTTTGCCTTATCAATGTTGTACATGTGTGCATGTGAATCTGCCAAAAACTTGAGATTACAGAAATTTTATTTACAAAAATTTTAGCCACAGGATCCCTTGTTCGAAATATATTTTAAAATTGCTGTGTAAAGTTACTTCTCAGTGTGTAAAACTTGTAAAAATTAGTTTTCTAAAATGTTTAATCTCGTCATAGGATGTGGAACTCTCTACCCCATCCCCCTTGTACCTTAAAATTCTTTGTATTTTTACTTTTTTAAAATGTTGAAGTATTGTAAACTGAATTATGTGACACCTCTAAATATTTTTAAGCAAGTTGTTGATGTTGAGAAATCTTTAATATTTAGGAAAAATTGAAAAATGGAAGTATTTTTCCAGTTTAATTCTAATTTTCAGGGACTAAGACTCACTAAGTTGACTCCAAATCTATTATTCCTATTATTCCTTTCTGAAGGGGCAATGGCACAAAATGGCCCACCCTCCGAGAGAAAATTCAGTAAGAGAATCAAAGATTACTGAGTACTTCAATCCGACTGTAAATCCTAAGGAACCACATACATCTATCTATGTTCTTTCAAAGTAAAAATTCTTGCAAGGAAATATTTATTTTTCAAGGAAAAATCAGCTCTTGATTTCTTTTGTATACGTGTAGCAAACTCCTTAATCTTATAACGTAGCAGTTGTATTTATTTTTGTCAAATTGTACAGCTCTGTGATTTTTGACAACTTCCGCTATTTTTCATGAATTTTTTTCTGAGATTTATCATTGAGAACAGTCTCTTAAATTTTAAATTCATTCAACTTTCCATTATGAACTACCCATCTGTCTGCTGTAATCACACAGTAATACTGCAATTATTTGACAATTTGTGGCAATGTAAAACATAGTAATTTAATTGGGCCCAAAACCTCATCTATCGTACCCTGTGCGATAATCTATCCTTGCCGAAAGACTCGGTTTTTGTTGTGTAACTGGAGCATCACATAATCGGTGGTCGAATAATCCGGTGAATACTGTACTACTTGAGGTCCGAAGAAGTCTGCAAACTGTCGCATTTTGATGGATGTTGCATATTAGAAGTATTGCAGAAATACTACTATTAGGGATCTGATACCCATCACTTTCTGTTACCCTCAGTTGGATTTTATGATATATTTTCACCACATCGCTTTGTGCTCATTTTCAATCTTTTATTTTGAATCTAATGTTTTTAGCGATGTGCCCGCTTTGTAAGTGAAAAATGGGCATAAATATCAGAATAAGCACCACCTTAAAGCACTCTGAGTAATTTAATAACGTAAGAGCTTTAATCCCCCAAATGTTTTATGACTATATCATTATTATTATCCCTCTTAAAGTTTTATCACTCCGCACTCACCCTTTATTTCTGCCTCTGATGCGCATGTTTTGTGATTCTGCTCTCTCAGAAACATTAACCCTGAAGGTACACTTTACCACAGGTATGGACAAACGGGGTGCCGAAGTGGCAGCGCTGAGAAGTGACGTTGCAAGTTGTACTGTCTTTGCTGCGCAGTTCAAAATGAGGTTCTGGCAGATCTGGTAGCTTCAATAAGCTATCAGATGAATCGAAAAAATTGATAAAACTCGAGACATCGAAAAACTTAACTAAGAACACGAAACAATAACACGAAATTGATGAGACCCACTCTCAGAACAGAAAGTAAACAAGTTTTCTATATTACGTCGCAGTCGTACCATTGGACGCTGTCAAATCTATGTGATTCAACAACTTTGTAAAATCCCTTTGTTCATACCTGTAGTAGAGTGTACCTTTACCCTGAAGGGATAATTTTGTAAAAGTCTTACAATAGCTTTTCTGGTTGTTGTTCCAGAGTTTAATAGATCCATTGATTCTTAGGAGGATGTTCTCAATAGTCTATGCAAGGTTTCTGATGAATTTTACCATTAAGAAAATTATGATCAAATTCTGAACTATTCTGCTAATTTTGCAACAGAAGATTGTCTGACGTCATTTTCGCATGAAAAGTAAATGCAAGGAGCAAGATAGTGGATCTTCTGTCGCAGTCTAAAAGTGCATAAACTTATTTGGCGAAGACCCTATCTCATCAAAAAGATCTTTTTATGATGAGAAAAACAAGTATCTTTGCATTGGTGTCATCAAAAATCTTCCCTCTAACTATTAGCATCTACTAACTTTGTCTGCAGTCTGCTATTGTTTAATGCACTCTTTTCTTTGACTCAGAAAAAGACAGGGCTGAGGATATAAAAACCCTGTAATTTCAAACCTTACGCACTTATGGATAGATGGCAAAATTTAATAAAAAAATTATTCTCGAGCAAGTGATACAAGTTATCTATCTAGGCTCGTCCATCGAAAGATACATTGTATTTTTATAACCAAAGGTAGTATTATATTGAAGTCAAGTGGGTTGAAATGTAAGTTCATTACTATTAACCAGGGTAGTGACATAATCAAACTGTCAAATACCTTTGTCAGTCTAAGTGATAGCTAATTTTATCAAATATTCTTCTCTTTTGGGAGAGTAAAGTAGAATTTCCAAGGGTTTTAAGACTTCAATAATCCAACATTTTAAAGGTGTATTAAATCAGAACTTGTCCCAGATAACCCTGATCTACCATCCTTGTATCAGTCTTTGACATTAATGCTTAAGTTACAAGTAAGCAATTTTTTTTTTCTACTTTTGTTTCTTAATTTCTTGCTCCCCCTGACTTCTTTATAAGGTGGGACCATGTCAACTCGAGCACACAATCAACGACCCACATCACAAAGGAAAATTTTGTCACAGTTTTCAATAGAAACTCGTGTATTTGGAGATGAGTGAATGCCCTTCATTTTATTTTTGCCTAATTATTATATTTTTACAGCAATCTAGTTTCGTTCCTCTTATTTTTATTGGTTTTCCCTCTTTGTACTGTCCCTCTTAAATTTGTGAGTTGCAGTATCTGAGAATCATTCCATTTAGGTACTTCGCTATTTTTCATTTAGTAATCAAGTTAGTTTTATTTCTCTGTATTTTTTGTGTCCATGTGTTTCTTTTGGGGAAAATTTTGAACTTTAAATCTAAATTAAATGAAATTAACACTTCAGAGACTTTGATTGTTACAGATTATTGAAAATGATTGCTCTTAGTACAATCATGTGGAAAGAGATTTTTAATGCTTTGATATTAAACACTAAATAAAATCCAAAATTTTTTAAGGTGAATTACTGTTCAATGACTATTACTTGGTCAGTTTTCACAATCTTGGCCTGATTTCAGGTTGAAATTCCTATTTATATTAAAATTTTAAGTCCCTAAATACACTGAACATTGAAATACAGAACTAAGAATATAGGCTAGGTTTTGTATTTTCATCTTGTAGCTCGTTAAACTTTTTTGGCTTTTGAATTAAGCCAAGAATTCTAATGTTAGAGTAGTCTTACCATTTCTGTCTTTTTGTTGTTTTGAGTTCAACCTATTTTGCAGTACAATAGAGGCAAAACATGCCTAACTTGGTGAAACTCAAATAAGTGATCTCACATGATTAAAAATCTAAGCTGAACATATTAAGAAAAGTCGAGGTTTCCTTTATTAGATACTTAATTCGAGTTTTTATATTGCATGAGGATAGAGTTCCTTCAACTGTGATGTTTTCGACACTTATCACTTTAATTTAAATCTTCCTTTTCAATAAAAAGAAGGTGAAAGTTGCTTTTGGCTCCGGAGGATTTGAACTTGGAAATAATGGCTGTAAATGGACTAAATTTCTGATCTCTGTTCAAAAAATTGGAATTTTTCTTCTTTTATTGTTGGCTCGTCCCCCTAAAAATTTGCAGAAGTAGTATGATGGAGTTTAGCAGGCTGATTATTGAAATTGACAGACAAAGAAGACATTGTAATATGGAGGGAATCTATTGGTTGAAACGGGTGGTTTTTACAGACTGTGGAGGAAAATGATTATTTATGTACCCATTGGGCCTCTCAAGGGTTGCTGTTAGTTATTCTAATTACTTACCTCCTTTGTCCATTGTATCCAAACGCTTCCACCAATAGAATCGCTCCATTTTCCCCTTGGCCTCTCTGCTATCGCCTTTTGTATCAATTTTGATAATGAGCATGCAATAATCAATGTAACACTTTAAATGCTGAATCAAATCGTTAAAATTGAATGTGCAATTGCGTTGTCAAAACTATTTAAATTTTCTGTAGGAAACTTGCATCTGTCAGTGTTGAGTTAGTTAAGCATCCATAATTTTTAGGCAGCAAACTAGTCCTAATTTCTTTATGAACTGAACAGCCCATGAACTCATTCTAATTGTGCAGTGCTTATAGTCATCAGTTTGAATGCAAGGATAAGGGCAAGCATCAGGAACTGACACGCAAACATGTCCACAAATTTATAGAACTTCCTAATCAATTACATTATTAAGTAGCGTTAGGAAACTTTCAATTATAGTTAATGTGACAAATGTGAGCTTAATTATTGTTCAGATAAAGTTTTAAAAAGTTCTTCAAATCCATTAAGCTCGATCCTCTGTTTCCTTATTTTTTCTCCATTGTATGAAGATATTTTATGTACCTAGAAATATTTGTCAGCAAAGGTCGAATCAGAAGAACACGCAATTCAGATTTTAGCGCATTTCCATGGGTAAATGAAAGTTTTGTGAATTTTCAGCAGCAGCATTGATAATCCTCTCGAAAAATCTATGCAAAACTTCAGCTAAATCAGAGAATTTCCAACAGTCACACATCGGCCACATTGTTAGCATCAAGGAAAATATGCTATGCTGCAGGGAGTTGTCATGGATAATACGCAGCATGTAAGCCTGTTTTGAAGCGCACTGTCTTTTGCATCATGCGAGATCCTTGAAAATTTTGGAGAGACCCCTCTCTTTGTCACTAAGGGGAAGGCATATTAATCATGGAGCATCAGTAGCCACTGACCACCTCTGTAACCCTACAGAACCTTGAACTTCAAATCTTCATCACTAAAATCTTTCATAGGTCTACTTTGTTGTAACATTCGGGAGACTTTATCCTGTCAGTTTGACAAATTTTCTCTATGAATATGACATCCCAATGCTCTTCCATGTTTTTCATCCATTCAAATAAATTTGATTTTGGCTGTGAATTCTTGAGTTGACCAGGCAGCTGGCTATGGATGTTTTGATCAGGCTGACTTTTACGCAAATCATTGTTTTGACAAATTCTGTCTCTTGTAAGAAGTTCTTACCAATATATTAAGGCACAATGGAGCCCTCCCAAGGAAATAAAAAGTAAAAAAAAAACATTTCTCATGTTTTATGCCAAGAAAAATTGAATTGTTCTAGGGTATCTCTCATCAAATTTTTGAATCTTAATGGTACTAAATGTGGAAAGTCGAAGAATGATAAATTTATCAGTCTAAAACAGGATTCAGAAACTTGCACTCCCTCATCAGCTAGTGGGTTCCTCTTAAAAAAAAAAAGAAGAAATCATCCTGTGCAAGCACCCGTTCTTTTGTTACCCTTTTGCCAGCCATGTGATAGTCAAGTATAATGAGAGAGGAGTTTCTGGGCATACTTTACATTGTACATACCCATCATAGCTAAACTTTTACCTAGGTGGATGGAATTAGCTGAACTAACACTTTCATTTCAGCTTCACATCAGTTTTCACTTTGCCTAATTTCCTCTCATGTTTAAGCAATTTTTTGAACAGAAAAATTAACTTCTGGAAGCTTTTTAAATTTCTGTAAATTTACGACCTACATTATGAATAGTATCCTCACACATAAGTTTCGATTTTGCTTAATTTTCTGTTTAAAATGTGAAGCAGCATAGAAAATTAGGGAAATCCTGATAAGAGTCAGTCTAATTCTGGTTTCATCAGCCCAATTGTTAATCTGAAAATGATTTGAACAATAAGACTTTCAGTTTAATTTGACAACTTAATCTTGCTTGACAAGGAGATGAGCATCTTGAAGACGAATGGAATGAGACAGATATCCTTGTTAAGTAATCCAACAATATAATGAGAGCATTGCAAATTTCTCTGTGCTTTTATCTGAAGTTTTTCTTTAATTCTACAGTCTAGGTAGTCTTGTTGTGAAAATGTAATGCTTCTACTGGAATATAAAACTGAACCTACGCACTTGATAAAGTTTTTAGTTGCAAGGCAACAATTTTTGAAATCAGCTTTTCAAAAGGCAAACGTATTGGGGAATAATTTTATGATGTAATAAAAGTTTCAATCCATACCTAAAGTTTCATCTGTATAGTTGCACCATAGTAGTACAGAGGTGTTCTGTTAAAGCCAATTATGGTTTTTCGAAATCCATTTCTGAGTTTGTACACTTCAATTTGAATCCAAAATAGAGACCCCTGTTATTATTAAACATGCCATTATAATGAATTGTGTTTATTAAACTTTGTAGGTTTGACGTTCCACATATTTTGCATTTAAATTGTCAGTCAATCATTGAGACTTAAATCGTGCGGTTCAAGCAATTAACTTGGTAGAAGTGATTTTCTTGAGTTATTAAAAGTAAAAAATTCTGACTGCACAGTTTCCAAAATCATATGTATTGTCATGTATTCTTATTTCTAATTCAAGATATGTCATTGGATTAGTGCTGCTAATCTGAAATTTTATCCCTTCTCCCCTTTTTTCCCAAAAGTGTAATATGTTCTCAATTTGTAATTGAGTTGTTCTTCATCAAAGCTGATTCCAAAACAGCTTTATGTTTGAAGGTACTTCATATCCTTTAATTAAAAACAGCCAATTTACAGTGTAAAATGTTGCTATGTAAATTAAACCAATTCGACATCAATAAAAAATAATTTTAAATAATCAAATGGCTAGTTAATTACACTAAGAGGAGAGGTTGCAGAATTGGAATGGGGAATATTCGGATATTTGGTAGTTGACGATGCGTATTTTACAAGAATAGTCGGGTTTTGCCAATACCTGTATTTTCTGCCTTCAAAAAGGGGCCTACACATGGCTCCAGAGCCAGAAATAGCTGAAAATTTGTGTTTTTCATGGATCTACCTCAGACTTTGACCTAGGCCCGAAGGTGATGGGTCATGAGCTTCGAATACGTTGTAAGGGTAAAGTCACATACAAGAATATGCTCTACCGTCATTTTTGGACAAATCGAACCTTTCTAAATCTTCAGCCAAAAAGAGCTGAAAACATGTTCTTGCGGTATTACCTCAGATTTTGACCCGGGCCTCAAGGGGACGATTCAAGTCTCTTGGTGTCCTTCACAGCATATTCAAAACTCTTGACCTTGTCCCCTTTCGGCTCAGGTCAAAATCTGAGGTAGGTCTGTGAAAAACGCGAATTTTCAGCTATCATGGGCTCTGGAGTCATGTTTAGGCCCCTTTTTGGAGGCAGAAAGTAGGAGTAGCGGCAAAACCCGACTACTTGTAAAATTAGCATCGTCTACTAGCAAATATCCAAAAATTTCCCGATTCCGTGGAGGGGCCGATTTCAGCCCAAAATCGCAGCCCTTCCTTAACTAAAGTTGGTTCTTATTGATCAATTGTAATTTTATTATTTATATCTAGTATTTTTACAGAGGAGGGCTTAATTGTCTCCAGGAGTAGGAGTACAGCTACTATAACTGTACGGAAATGAAATTTTAACAAAGGGAGAGCCTGGAGGGATATGACTTTTTTTTCCAGAAAAATGTTTGGGTTTTTTTAAATGAAAAAATTTGAAAATTGGAAGAAGACTCTCCTTTCATACCTATGCTGTGTAGAGCACACAAGAAAATAGGGAGTCCCAAATAATAAAACCAGAACCTCAGAAGCACTTTTTTTTAAAAAATGTCAAAAACGTCCCGTCCCTTCCAACCTCAGGGAGGGTTGGGGCTGTAGATGAATTGCTATTTTCTTTTAGTTTTTACCTTTGATCACAGTGTGGAACATGAAAAAAACATTAGTGTGGTATCAAAAGTACACTATGTGATAGGAAAAAAGAAACTAACTCAGCAAATAATGCATGTAAAGGAGCCTTATCTTTAAGGTACCTAACAATATACCTAAATGGCACAAATAGCATTTTAGTTCGATGCCCGATGGGCTGTAAATTTTTTTAGACTTTATGAACCCCGAATCATGATTCTTGGTCCAAATAGGTCACAAAACTTTTTTTTTGTTTGTTTGTTAACTAAGGGACTTATACTAGAAACCTTTTATAGGCACTGAGAGTAAAGACAGTGCGAATCCATTTCTGATTGGTTCCCGTATTTTAGGCCTTCACGGTGTCATCAACAGGAATAAAGAATATGTTTTCACCAATTGCATAGATTATAAACTGGAATGGACCCAACGATCTAGAAACTATACAGGGTGTCCCATGGTTAAGCATGAATAATGATGGGGGTCGATTCTTCGGGTCAAAAAGGACGTTTTTATGGTATAACTATTTTCAAAAAACGCTTTTCCTGGGGGGCCCCATTAACCCCCTTATTATCTCCTTTTTGTCCCTATTATCTCGAAAACGATGAGTCATGGCGAAAAAACGCAAGGTACATTTTCTCAATATTTTTCAATGCTAAATCTATATAGTGCCGTCAAAAATCAATTTTTGTCGCTAGAAATATTAATTTTGGCCTTTTTTTGGTTTGCTATCCCCCTAAACCCTCCTCAAAATGTGTTGCCCCTTTTTTTGAGGTCAAGTATGGAAAGAGCACTGTAAATTACCTCTCAGTTACCTAAGACCCTTCATCAATATTGGTTGATAAACATTGTCAAAGTGTTAAACAGACGATTATTTTTCTTCAACTTTGGAAGGCCGTGGTCCCCAGGGAAAGTGTTTTTGGATAAAAAGTTATCCAACAAAAACGTCATTTTTGGACCTCAAGAAGATTTTTGCGACCTCAATAGTCGCACTTATTCCTGGAACACCCTGTAGATAGGGAGATCCTATGCTACGCTGTGCTACGCCAACAGTAAAATTCGGAACACACCAGGAGCAACAATTAGGTTAGGACGAAGATTCGAAGATAGTCGGTTTCTACTAGAGTCCCTTTATACTGAGAGTCAAGACAATGCGAATCCATTTCTGATTGGTTAACCGGATTTTAGGCCTTCACAGTGTCACAAACGGGAATAAAGATTACATTTTCACCAATTGCAAAGATTATAATCTGGAATGGACCGAGGAATTTCGGGTTCGACAAGGAACAAACGGAATGAGAGAAGGAACGGAGAAAGGAATTTGAGAATGGGACTGAATAATTGTCTTGGTATTTATTTACTAATTTTATGGAATTATATTTTATTTCTTATTAAAACTAAGAAATACAGGCCGATCAAAGATTACGAAAAACGTTCAATTTGTGTAATCTTTATTCCCGTTTGTGACTCCATGAGGGGTGTTGTCTTGACTCTCACAATCAGTATAAAGGGACTCTAGTTTCTACTAGAGTACCTATATTAAGAGAGTATGGCCACTGGGTCCCATGAGGAGGCTTAGGACCCAAAAATGGCGGTGCTTTGTTATGGTTTTTGAGGATAGGAGGGGGGTCATTGCCAACTTTTGACGGTTATCACCAACCGCACTTGCTGCCAACCTTACTAATCAAAGATCATTTTTCTCAAAAATTGCACACGATTAGCCTTAAAAATATGTAAAAAAGTCGCAATAGTGCATTTGGGTAAAGTTCTCGTTACGATAAGCAAAGACAACTACATTTTGAATCATTTTGCATTACATTAACTTTATGGCGTCCGCCATTTTTGGGTCCTAAGGGCTCCATTCAGCCTAAGATGGCTGAGCCAATCAGAGGTGGTAAC